AGATCTTCCTATTTTCATAGAGCATCACCTGCTGTGGTTAATCAACAATCGTAGTCCTAACTCAGTTTTTCGTCCCCCATTGGACTTGAACCGGCAACCTTGCGATTGGTAACCTAGGAGCGTAACCACTTCGCTATCGACCCGCAGGTCTAGACTTTCTTTTTGATTTTGTGTGCTACTCATATTTTGTTTAGTTATTAGTGATACTTATTTACTATTTGTTCTAGAAATTTCTATGTCTTATGCCTATTACTGTCCAAATTGGATTTGTTTATATATCTGTCAATATACGTGTCTGTTTGTTTATCTATTCACATGTTGCTGTGATCTACAAATTGACATTTCCAAGTTACAGAGAATTTCCCAAATTTCATTTTTTCAAATATCAACCAAGATATTTCCTTCTCTATTTTTTTTACAAGTTTTTTAATTTCCTACTTTTATCTTTTGTTATATCTTTTTTCATAAGCTCTATCTTTTTCTTTAAGCCTGTATTGTTGGTTTTAACAGCTATTTTTTAGCAAACTTCTAAAATATTTCTCTACAGTTTTGTATATGAGTAATCAGTGAGAAAAGTTTAATCTTAATGTAATATATAATGAAAAATATAATATTTTTAAAAAGTTTATTAAATTTAAAAAAGATGTATTAATAGTATAATAAATATAAATTATTATAAATAGTAAGTTGGTTAAAAAAAACTTGTAATAAATAGTTTTATATTAAAAAAATAAACAAGTTAGTAGTAGTAATTAAGAATACTATTAATAGTCTAAATAGAATATATTATAAAATTAATATTTTTTTTATTAGTAACTTAATTGATTTATTATCAAAATAAGATAAAGTTTTTAAGATATATAATATAATAAAGTTATTTTTAAATAAAATAAGCATATTGAAACTATGGTTAAGTATATGAAGAATTAGTAGAGATAAGTAATTAAAAATTATATTGTAATTGTTTGTTAATTTAGAAAATGTTTTGATTAATACTTAAGATATTAAAAAATTTAATAAATTTTTTGATAAGTTTGATAATATAAATAAGTTTATTAAAAAATAAATGTATTTTTATTATTAATAAAAATTTTATATAATAAAAATTATTAGAATAAAATATTAGCAAAAGAATTCTAATTCTTTGTAGATATAATTTTATAATTAAATATATAATAATTAATATTAGTATATTTATATAAAAGTTTGCTATAGATATATAAAAATGTTTAGATAAAAAAAAAAATTAAAAAATTACTAAAAGCAAAAATTTAAAATTATAAAAAAAAATATTTTGAAATGTATAATTAAAAAAAATTTTCAAAACAAAATATAAAATAATTAAAGTTTTAGTACAAAAAAAATTATAAACTTATTACAAAAGGTAATACAATTAAGTAAAGAAACTAAAAAGTTTCTAATAATAGTAATTAATATAATATGAAATAACTTTTATAAGAATATATAAAAAAATAATGTGAAACCTTTATATTATAAGAAAAGAAGATAAAAATTAACATAAAAACAAAAAAAAAAAACACACACAAAAAAACAACTATTAATAAATAAAAAATTACAATTGATTATAAAAAAAGTTTTAATAAAATAAGAAAAAACTAAATTATTTTTAAGTTAAAACAAGAAGAAAAAGAAGAGAAAAATAAAGAAATTTAAGAAACATGACTTGACTTAATAATAAATTTTATATGTAATAAATTAAAACCTTTATATATAACCTTATTGATTAGTTTAATACAACTTCTGAACAATAATAGACCACCTTTAAACACTTATAGAAGCAACTAAAAGATGTTGAATTAGAAAATTTAAGTTAAAATATACATAAATCATATACAAAAATCTTAATAAAGGTTTATATCAAGGCTATCAAAGTAAAAAACAATATAATTAATATAAGACAAAATAATCAAATATTATAAGTTACTATATACAAAAATTAGGTTTTTTATATCTTACCAATTTTAAAACTTATAATGAATCCCAGGTTTAGTGTAAATGCACAATAGTTATATTATTAAAAAAAATTATACAGTAAAACTACATAAGTGCATCTTCTATATGTGCATATTCTATAAATACACATTCAAATTTGAGCCTAAATATATGTATAGGTAAATTAAGATACGGATAAATAGATGACGGATTTATCCGGATTGGAACTCTACATAACATTAAATCGTTCATAGGTGTGGGGAAGGGTATAAAAAATACACTAATTAAAAAAATACAGCAATTCTATTAGCTGTAAAAATCATAAAATATATAAAAAGCTAATACTGCGATTTGATTGGTTAATATGATGCGTTTTTTCATAAAATTTTGAAAAAATAGGGGAATTATGTTAAACGAAGATTTAAATTGGTCCGGCCTCATCATAAAATAAAATTTGAACTATTTGCTTCTGTTGACCTCATGATATTGCTGATCATATTCATGCAAATAGTAATTTTAAATGATGAGATTATAAAATCAACGGGATTAAAGTCCTACATAATGACATGATTAGGTTGTTTGAAATTAAATCTTCGTTTAACTTTTAAGATATATACAAGGAAGGGAGGGAAAAAATTAAACATCAAAAATAAACATATATTATACAGCACCATAATCGTATTTAATGTTGACTGATGACATCATACCGACAAATTCGCTTTTCCATTTGCTTAATTTTAAGGGAAACAGAGTGATAACGTTAAACGAAGATTAAATTCAAACGATCTTATCGTAAGCTCTCCTGGTTTATTTAATAGTTTGACTTTTTTGGCTAATTAAATCAAATTCTCAGAACACTAACTAAGCATCTATAGAGACAGCAGCGATAGCAATATTAAGAGAACAATATGTGTGCCATAGTTGTATTAGATTTATTTATAGAATATGAACCATCATTTTTCCGGTTAGTGATTCATCTTTTCTGATTGGGATATGTTGTTTCATAATTAATATTTTCAATAACAAAACTTTATTATTATTGAGTTTTGCCAACCATAGAAGGTTAGCAAAGCAATAGTTTAAAATAACCATCTACTATTTGAATTAGGTTGTTTAAAGCAATCTTTTGGTTTGCGACTGTGATCGACTGTAATATTTTGTTATCAGATGCGATGGATTGGTGGATTAAAAAAAAAGCAATGAAGATAACATTTGTTGTAAAAAAAAAGGTATAAAAGACAACGCCCATCAAAATTCATGGCGTTATTGATTTGCTAGTAAATAACAATCAGTAGAAACTTACTGTGGTAAAAGACCATTATTAAATTACTCATATACTTGTTTCTATTGACAACCCCATAGGTTGGGGGATATGTCCATGTATTCTTAGTTAATACATTTGGAGATCCATAGCTTTTGGCGGACAACCACGAGAAGTTCTAATTTATCCTGACGATATATACGTAAAAAAGCTTTTGAACAACATTAATTACATGTAATTACTAAAATGGGTTATTATAATAAAACTTAGCGTTATTCAATGCCAGGTTCGGTTACATCCAAGTTCGATTACATGATGTTCAGATGTTCATTAAAGTTTTTAACCTCATATTTTAGGTATTTGATATGACTATTATCTCTCTTATTTTATAATTTTAAAGCAAGTGCCAAAAAGCATTTTATAGGTTTGTGAATATTTAGTAAATCTTAATTTTTATAAATGGTAGGATTTAGTATGCTCATATTATATATTGTAGTTCTGCTGATATTATACTTGCTGGAAAGACCCGAAACCCCAATAAAATAATTTGTAAATATATTATATCTAGCTATAAGAACATATATTATTTGGTTAAATAAAGATTATTAATAAATTTTTTGAGATATTAGTTTTGGCTTGAGTTTGCTATATGCTAGAGATGCGAAATTAATTTTACAAGATTTTACCAAACTTCAATTCAATTTTACCACTAATTGTGAAATTATTTCACCACTCTGGTTTAGTTTTACTGTCTTTAGGTACATTGCAATTAAAATTATTGAAGTTAATCTTTTTTCACATGACCTGGCAAGAATTCCTTGTCAAGTGCATAATCAAGTTGATCACTTCACTAAACTCTGAAAGTATTTCACCTTACTATCACTAAATGTTTAGTTTAAATCATTACATTTGCAAATTTCATATTTTTTTTATTAAATATTAATCTGGACAAAAGAAATCTTTATACAATCTATGAACAATTATTGACAAAAGTCTTTTGTTATTTAAAATACAAAGGTCGTCTACGCATCTTGTTTAATGCATTTTCAAATAATTCACGACGAATAAATGAATATTCTTTTTTTTCAAAATTTTCGATCTGCAAGTCTGAATCCATAATGACAATTGTAGGTGTCGTAGGTGTTTTTACTTTTGGTGAACTTGCCAAAGTAGGACTCATAATTGTGTCATGATTTTCTTGTATTGTTGGTTTGTTTCGTGTGGGTGGAGACAAAAGGCCATTACGAGTTGAAACTATAGAGGGTGTCATCAGAAAACTAGGAGTATTTGGTGGAACTTTTAAAGTTGGTGGTATAGTTGGTGATGCAAGTAATTTGTCCAGTGTGTTTGGAGTGTTTGGAGTGTTAGGAGTGTTCGGTGTATTCGGAGTGTTCGGAGTGTTTGACATGCTTGGTGTGCTTGGTGTAGTTGGCACAGTTAATTTCTGTTCAATAAATCCAGTTTCGTTCACAGACTTTAGATTTTCACACGAAGAACCATTTTGTACAATGCAAGCTGAATCTGATGTCGGTATGTACGGTATCTGTTTAAATTTAACGCTCTTTGGGGTATGAAGAAGTGAACTGGGAATAGAATCTAATGGAATATTCGGTAGGGAACGAAAGTATGCAGACCCTAATGGAGTCGGCGGTTCCGCATGATCCAAAGACGCAGTCAAAGGTGTATTGGGAACGGAAAATGAGACATGAAGAGGAGTTGGTGTAATTGTGGAATTTATCCAATCCAAAGTATTTGCCCGTTTGGTTGGAGATTCATTACCCATATCATCATCGAGGGATAATTCTTCCCATTCTTCATCTTCATTCATACCATTTAATGATTTTAATTGTTTTCCTCTAAAGAAAGAGATCAAAATTTCTTTTGCTGTATCTTCATTAACTGATTCAGCAAGTCTTTTTACAAAATTTCCGGGGATTATACCCTCAACAAACATCTTATTAGACAAGATACCAACACGTCTTTCTTCCACTGACAATCCAAAATAGTAATATACCAAGATTTGATCCACAGCACCACGAAATGGTTCATAAAGATCCAATAAAGTAGTGAAGTTTAACAATGAAAAGAAATCTTGATAGGTTCTAATCTTCGATGCTAGCGAAGAAGTTAAAACGTCTTTTATGTCAGCAGAGGCATACAACCAGTCCAAAGATGCATCGACAATTTCTAAACCCCCATGTACCGGAGCTTCGATACAAAGTATTGGTAAACCATTAGCTTCTTCGATTGTATCAGAATTCAAAGAAGTATTCGAAGACAGTTGAGCAAACTGAGTGGACAATTTATCAAAAAGAGCCGATTTCTGCATAAGATATTTGGACTGTTGGACGGTAATTTTATAAAGCTTTTTAAAATGAGGTTTATCCGATGTTAAAACTTGCAACATAAAAAGAACTGTAGAAGGCAAGATTAGTGATGGTGATAGAATTTGTGTCGTCTTTGATACAACTTCCAAAGGAAAAGCCCTGACATTAAGTGATGTAGTTTTGGTTGGCATTATTAATTATTATTATTATTATATTATTAGTATTTATCCTATGTTTGCAAAAAAAAAAAAAATGTAAAAGACAAAGAAAGATAATAAAGAGAGCAAAACAAAAGATCAACTTTTGTGTTAAGAGCGAAAAACTTTCACAGAAAGTAAATTACAGTGGGCAAATTTTGGATTACTGTGTTTAATTAGTTTTAGGGTATTTATATAAATAAGAAGTACTCAAAAATAAATGCGTTTAAAATTGAGCCAATAATCATTAACTTCAATGATCATTCTTCGTGATCAGAACAATTCTTTCCTTGTTATGCAAGCTATTTTTGGAAATTTCTAATTAATTAGTTTTATTTATTTTCTTTTTAAAGGCAATCAAAAAGAAAGTATACCACGATCGGTCTGTGTGTAACATTATGTGTCGTATTAAGATTCACACGAGTTACATTGTAAGTATCGCAAATTAGAAACTGTACGTACTTGAATGCATCATTTTGACTATTCTTGATATTTTGGATATTAAATACACGAAAGAATATTAGTTGAACAACCGAAATTTAAAGTACATGCACATGTATATCCTTCATAGTCAAACAGATCATGTATCCTTGATTGTAAATTAGTGTTCCAAGATGTTATAGTGTGAATTATAACAGTTTAGCATCTCATCATAAAACAAATAAACCCGTATTTTTGCTGCAGTTATTATTAGCTCATTACTAATTTATTTTTTTTCATATCCTGCATTCTATGTCATCACTACTCTATACTAACGCTAATTAAATTTTAAAATCAATATATAACGATAATTAAAAATAAAAGAATAAAACGCCACAAATAGGCCTGTAATTTGTTTCAAATGTGTATATAAATCTAAATGAATAACATTCTTGATCAACATCTGGTGTCATAATATTTAAAATCTAACTTATACACTGTAACACGTTTCATATCTTAACAAGGAACAATAAAAAAGAGCAGAATTTTGCAGGTTGTGTTGTTTTTTTTAGCATATTATATGTTTGATCAAATAATAATAGGTAATTACTAAATTTTCTGTTGCACTAATCCCACTGAATTATATTCCAAATAAATTTTTATCCGAGAAACACACATAGTTATGGCACGGCCTGTATTAAAATAATTTAGGCCGATGGTCTTTAAAATGGATCAATATAATATAGGGAACTCCATTAATGAAATTGATTATTAATCAATTTATTTATAGTAGGGGTCCTCTATACGGTTACGGTACGATTCCCCGAAGGCTATTCCCCGACTCGACATCATACAGGGTGATAATTTACTAAAAATATATACTGTACCTGCACTCATCAAACACTAACCCTGATGTCGGGTAAATAGTCTGTCGAAGAACAAACTTTCTGGAATTGAGTGACAACCCCTCTATACTATATTTAAATTATTAATTTTGGCCAGAAATTTGATTTTTCCAGTCACAAAGAAAATTTTCTTTTTTATATCTGAAAAAAATTAGAGTTAGTTTCCGACAAAATTAACAATTTTGAAGACCATTATTTTAATACAGTCAAATTGCCACGCATTTTTTGGTGCGAAGATTCTGCAAGCATATGTAAACGGCATATGGATGGATATTTCATATTTAAAGGTCCATTTTGGTATATAAACAATTTTGAGTACGTAAATAGAAACATATGTGAAGTTTTTACTTTTTCATTTTGTGAATCTTTTTTTTTATATAATTAACTTCGGCTGCTTATAATAAACTTTTTTTTTTATTAAAGTATATCTATTCAAAATGAAATAAAATTCTTTTTTTTTTAAATTGCCAAAATGAATCCTTTTAATACAAGGCACCTATATAATTTTTTTTTGATTTTTTTTAAAAAATTCAATTAAGGGTTTTTACATCGGTTGGAATTAAAAAAAGATTTATTATGTTAAATAGCATAATTCAAATACTATTTAACATATTATTTATTAACATAAATCTAAATAACTATTTGAGAATTATTATTACCGCGGGTGTCTGGCATAGTGGCAAAGGGTACAGTATAAAAATTATATTCATAACATCTATACCATATATACGATATTATAAAAGACATTCCTTATGGCATGCCAGACATTGTAGCTTAAATGATTTGACTAATCAGGATGCAAGTAATACAAAAATTAAAATAATTATTATATTTTTTAAAAAAAACAATCATTTTGAATGTATATAAATAGTCAAAAAATGGTTAGTCAACTTCTTCTGATAATTCACTTGAACCAAGTTTGCATCAAAAATAAATTGGAAACTTAAAACCTTTATTTAATATCTTTAGTTTTATACTAAGTTATTAATAATGAAATTCAATATGTGAATTACCAAAAAGTAGGCATATTAGTAGTAGTTTGTACTTTGAATAAGTTTTTTTATTTGATAAGTTTCAACATTTTGACCAAAAAGATATTTTAAAAACAACTAATTTTATATTATTAACCAATCAAAAGTGTTAAAAATAAAAAATAAGATCAATAACTTTTTTTTATAATACAAAATTGTAACTTAAACTTTATTAGTTTTTTGCATTACTATTACATATAGTTATATTATATTTGTGTTACAAATTACTTTTTTGCTCTAAACACTTAACATAATATTATATTTACACTTTTCTATATTTTATAACATTTATTATATATTTTAATAATCATTACTAGCTATTAGTAAGGTTGTAATTATCTTGTTATAGTATAATTTTTTATTACTTAACCTGAATATAATATATCTATCTACTTTCTGTAGTAACTCTTCTTTCTTCTAAATTGATTGATTTCTGCAATTTTTTTGCTCTTATTGTTACTAATTTGGTATATATAGCCTTATATATTTTGTTAGTACAATTAGATTTATCAAGTTCTAAATTATTAATTTGCAGTTTATTATATATTTTTATTGGTTGTTAGTTTGGTCTACAGTTTAATTATATTTGTTTTTTGCAGACTTTTCTGTAAATATATTGCTAATTATATATAATACTATTAATTTAAAGTTACAAAGAAGCTTAAAACCTTGACTTATTGTATATAAATATAATGCTTATTAGCTAAGTTGTAATATAAACTCATCTATTATATAATATTTTTTTAGTACTTTTATAGTATCTGTCTAAGATGTTTCAATTCTAATTAAATTAATTTTTTGTCATAAATTTTTTATATATTTTATATTACTTATTATTTTAATTTGTTTATATTAATTTATTTTTTTAATCAAATTACTGCAAATTAAATACAGAAATATTAGTACTGCTTTGTTTTTTAAAAGATTATTTGTATAACACTTTATATAACAAAACTTTTTATAATATTATTATTACATATAATGTTTTCTTTTTGTAAAATTAATTTTTTTTTAAAAATTTCTAATCTATTTTTGTACTTCATCTTAAAACTTTCTATAAGGCTTTGCATCTGATTTAATTTTTATTTTTAAATTACAAAGTTTAAAATCTTTAGTTTTTGCTTTTAATCTAACTTGAATTATTAATTTAATGTGTAAGAACTTAGCAACTTTATTATTAAGCTATAAAACACAATTTCTTTAATAAAATAAATAATTAAAAACTTTCTTTTTAATTTGAATTTTTATAATAAATTAATTTTAACATAATTTTTTTTTATAAAAAAAATAATTTAATTTACTTTTAATAATTATTTTTTATTTTTATATTCAAACAATTTATATAATAATATAATAAATTAAAAATATAATTATATATATAATTTTAAATATTTAGCTTTTTCTACTAATTACTTATACACAAATTTAATAAAAGCAATTTTAGAAGCTTTTAAAAAATAACTGTTTAAACTAATTTTAAGATTTAAGAAAAAAAGTAAAGCTTGTAAAGAAAATATATCAAGAACAAAAACAAAAATTTAAATAACTTAGTAAAAGAAATAAAAAAAAAATACCTTAATTGAACCTTAAAAAATAAAATTTAAAGAATTCTTTGTAACTTAAAAATATAAATTTGTTGATCATAACAACATATAAATAGACAAATAAAACAAATATATATATAGATAAATGGGCAAACAAATCCAATTTAGATAGTAATAGATGTAAGATATAACAAGTTTCAGAACAAACAAACAATAAACAAAACTTATTTTTTTTTTTTTTAGTGTTAAGGTGACCTCTTTGGTCTTTTGACTTTTATTAATCACTTATCAATATTGTGATTTAATGAATCACTACAGGAAAGCATACAATTGGCTACATGTGTAACTTTTTTATATTACTTATTTAAGGAGTCTACCTAAAGGTTCCCTACCAATTGCCATATCTAACACTTCTGCTTGGATGTTTCACTTTAAACCTTCTGAACCTGTAATCTGTATTAACATCACTGGATCATACCCAGATGCCCAAATCATCGTCTCAACCTTAGAACTAATTTATTCTCGAGGTAAACCCTTTAGAGCCTTTTGTACCTATTTTTACAGCTAATCTAGGTATCACTATAGCAGAACCAACACTTGCGATCAGGGCTAACTATTAAACCACTATGCCCTTGTAGAGTTTACTTAGACCCCAGAATCTACTTCACAGCATAACTCTAGTACTTTAGTATATCTCTGCCTTTTCCTCTGTCCTTTTAACAAACTCCCAATCCAGATAGCCCATGTAAGACTATGACCAGTCTATCAGTATATCAGATCAGCCTGATATCCTTTTCCTCTGGTTTGTTTTGATGGCCTGGTTGATAGTACCTCTGAGATTCCCAACCTGAAGGTTCTTGCCTGTCTGGCTACTAGGACTAGATACTAGACCTAGGTATTCATTTTGCTAGGCTAGCCTTTATAGTAGGGCTGTTAAAGATCTAGCTATCTCTTTATTCAGGTTTTTCCAAATAGACTTTTTGTTACCCAATTTCAATGAATTTACATAGACACGAGGACTTATCTAGTGTTTGCACTGCCCAATATGTCAGTTTGCATTTTTTTGTATAACTCCAACATTGCACAGATGCCCTATGACCTGCCAGTTATACTAGTGTGACCATTATTACAAATATCCTAACCTAACTGTTAGTAACAGTTGCCATAATATGAATATTATATAAATAATTATCTAAATTTTTACCATCGATGGGATTTGAACACCCAACCTACTACTTGGGAGGCTGACAACCTGACTACTTCACTAGGTTGCCATACCCCTCAAACAAAACTTATTTATAATAAATTAAAATCATAAGTATTATATAAAATCAAAAAATAGTCTAATATTAATTTATATTAAACGAATATGCTAAACAATAAATAGTATATATAATAAGATGTTTTTAAAAAGTAGATAAAACTTATACAATACCAAATAGAGAAAATAAAATTGGTATTATACTAATAGAATAAAATTTAGTAAAAATTGCTTTGCTATATATAACTAGAAAAATAATTAAAAAAATAAAAAAAATAGCCAAAAATAATGATCAATATTATCAAACAAAACAAAATTAAAATAATAGAAGAACTTACAATAAGACAAATACAAAACAAAAAAAAAGATTCAATAACAATTAACTAAAACAAATAGAAATCAAAAGAAATTATTCAAAACAATAAAGAAAGAAAGATAATAAATAAAAAGACTAATAAAATAAAATACAAAATAATATTAAAAACTCACAAAAAAAAATAAGCATAAAGATAAGTTAGGTAAGCAACAATTAAAAAAAAGAAATTTGTTTACTCAAAAAAGAAATATAAAAGAACAAAAAAAAAAGTAAAAATAAGAAAACACTAAGAAAGATAAAAGATATCTAAAATATAACTTAAAAATAAAAATGACAAAAGAACAAATAAGAAGAAAAATAGAAATTAAAAAAAAAATTAATATAATCAGAGTATTTTTAGAAGTAGTTATTTGGATACTAAGTAAAGAAAGTTATAATTAAAACAATAGCCTATTTGCTAATATACCAGCATACAATATGTTTAAAAAGATAAAAGAAGAACATATAAGATAATTATTAAGAAACAATATATATGTTAAAAATATAAAAAATCTTTAAAAGAAAAAACTTATAAATAAAAGTAGACTTTGACTATGAATATTATAAAAGTGAAACAATACAAAGAATTAGTAAAAAAAAAAATAATTGATACAGAATAATATCTAAAAAAAAGAAAAAAAAAAATATAAAAAAACAAAAATAATATAATAAGAAACATTAAAAAAAAGAAATAACAAAAAATCAAAAAAAAAAACTTAAATAGAAAAAAATTAAAATTATGATAAATAAAAACCAATATAAAATAAATAAGAAGTCTGAAAACAGAAACTATCTAATAATTTGGAACTTATCAACAAATATAAACAAAAAAAATTAAAATTAGCTACAAAAAAATTAAAAAAATCTATATAATAAGAATTAAAAGATCAAAGTATAAAACCTTAGCAGTAGTATAGACAAAAGAAACATATAAAGATATTCTATAAACTATACCAACAAATTAATATATGTAACTAGAGAAATAGAAAACTACAAAACAAGAAAAAGACAAAGAAAATATATAGCAAAACTAACAAAATTATCTGAAAGTATCTTAGAAGTTCTACTATTATGAAGTTTAAAAAATAATAAGATAAATTTGTTTAAATCTCTTTAAATAAAAATAGAAATTAATAAAAAACTGTAGCAGTTATGTTTGTAACAGGGAAAGATATAAAAACAGTCTAATCAAAACTATTTATATATAATAACTTTTTAACTATATTGAATAAATAAAAAAAAAATCTGATGAAGAAAAAGTCTTAAGAAAGAAAAAAAAGAAGTTATAAAAAATTTCTGATATTGTAAAAAATAATAGCAAAAAAGAAGAACAAAAAACAAGTTATATATAAACAAAATTAAAAAAAAAGTTAAAGAATAAAAGATCAGACAGCAAAAGGTAGAAATAACATTTAAGATTAAGCTATAAAAAATAATTAAAACATCTAAACTTATTTAAATAAGAAAAATTTTTTGAAAAAAAA